GATCTGGTCCCCTGTAATATCAGTAGAGTCACTTTTTCAACATTGTTTGTAGCCCTCAGCTTCTGTCCATTACTAAACGGCTATATTGATAACGTATCATCAGATATCTGCCCTCTAAGGCCAGCTATCATTACTAATGTATCACAGTATCATGTCAATATGAAAGACCGTAAAATTGTTCATATAAGATATACTTTTGGGATAAATATTTTATGAGGCCATTTTCTGCCCATCCATAACCATGTCCTGTTTAAATCATAAAGGAGTTGGAAGCATGTGTGCTCTGGAAAATATGGCATACAAAATAAAGGGACACATACGGTAACGATGTTTTCCGTCGTTACGTTTTCAAAGTAATCTAAAATCTCTCACCAAACTGTGTTAGTGGGTGCTGGATCGTTAGCAGCCTCTCTGGGCTTTCAGCTTGAAACAAAAGAATATATTTCAATGTCGCAATTCAAGATTCACAAAACGAGTAGGCTTGTTTCACTTGTAACATACAAGCATAAGTTCAATATGAACATTATATGTACGCAGGTGAGAATAATTATTACCCCAGAGACTACTGAGACGTATGCATATATGTATGCTTACTAAGCAAGTACATGCGTGAGTGTGTTCTCCGGTCAGGTAGATGTGGATATCATCTGTCTGTGTACCCTCTGTCTGTAAAATAACCAACAACTGGGTTACCAATCGATCATTTTATGTTTCACTGAGTTTGTGTTAAAAGGAATAGAACGAGCATCAGCTCACCATCTTAAAGTCAAATTAAATGAATGGTCAAGAGAAACATCTACAAGCTATCAATGTTTTCTGACAAAGCCTAATCAAATAATACTTGACAGTATGCTAGGAAATACTAAACAAATCTAATATATAACATATAATGCCAGAGTCAGAAGTAAGCACCTGTCAGAGTGTGTTCATCAGATGTTGATCCATCTCTAACGAGAGACCCAAACTCAGAAATGTCGGATTTCAATTTCTCGCCAGTCCTCTCATGTGCTGAATAACAACGGCTGCAGGTGAACAGTGCAGCATCTGGTGGAACTGATCTGGAGGTAAGTCTTCGTTGTTTCTTGTATTGAACTCTCCAGTGGTCAGAAAGTCCGAGTTCCGAAGCATATCTGAGCACTGTCTTGATGTAGTCTCAGGTCCACTTGCATCGTTCACGCTCGCCTTCGCGAGGTACCTTGCTCTATGTGTAGATACGACAGTTTCTGCTTCGTCTGATTGTCAAGATCGATGATCAGATCCGTCTCTCTTTGATCGAGTGTGTCCTCTCAGAGAAGAACGAATGTGTGGTGGATCGTCTCCTTCACAGCACTGCTTTCTTGCTTTGTGTCATTGATGACTTTGCTGATGCTCTTCAGATATGCTTGGTGAGACGTATGATGTGCAGTCACGTTCTTCCCATGTTGTTCTATCCGCCCTTGCTTAGCAACATCAGAAGCTACTGTCTAAATTCTCAACGTCGTTGATCAGCATGGTCGCCAAGCCTGCATTTCAGGCATACAGATTAAAAATGTTACAGTTTTGTCAAAATATTCAAGAGGATAACGCTCTTTGTGAAGTTTGCAAACTGGTTCAGCCTCCATGCTTCCCGGTGCTGTGGTCCACAGGAGTTTCAACAACAACATGTCAGTCTGGTAGCTTTGAAACTGTTGCCAGCATGTCTCTATATTCACAGAGTAATCCCCTCAAGACTCTGACACCAACACACAGCCTATTGCTGTCATCTTCTGTGTGTACAGAGAAGCTCTGTGGGCGATGTTTGACTGTCAGGTGGACATTTCCTTCATTCCACCGCATCCTGTTGGAGGGTTGTTTCCTTTGAGGTTGACCTCCCCCTCTTGACATGCAACATGACATCACTAACTCACCAGCTGCAGTTGGTCACACACTGTCCCACACATTAATTTTAAGTGTAGATTAGGGCAGTAGGTAGGGGAGGGCCTTATGGGTAAACTGTCATGACAGACAGAACATTTGGGGAAGGCGTCCATTCCTGAAACACATATCATATTGTCCCTACATCACTGAATCCAATAATACGAACATAAATATCAAGAATGGCATCGATTCCAAGAAATATATCGAAGCACCTTGAGTAGAAACCTTCATGTTAGATCGAGGCCTACTAGAGGAGAGGAGGCTGAGGCGGATAGGAGCAGAAGGAGAAAACGAGGCAGGCTGACATGGCTCTTGGGTAAGAGGAGAGGACTGAGACTGGTAGGGAGGCAAAGGCCATGGGCACGGTAGGATGGAGAGGCACCTGCAGGAGAGAGCCACGGGGGAGGGTATGGGTAGGGGGCACACAAGTGGCACAGGCACGAGGGAGAGGGTACTGCAGGAGGCAGAGGTAGGCACTGGGTAGGGCTGGAAGGAACCGGGTAGAAGGAGATAATGGGAGGAGGGCCGAGCCACAGGGATGCAACAGGCGTAGAGGGAGATCACAGGAAGGACAAGGGTCAGGAGGGAGTCTGGGAGGAGGCACGGGCAGGAGGAGGCACAGGAAGCTGGCACGGGGAAACCCAGTGGAGGAGGGAGCCACAGAGGGAGGAACCCCACAGGAGGGAGCCAGGACAAGACAAGGAGTGGAGTGGTGAGCCGGAAATGTGGCACCGGCACAGGAGGCCCAGGCACGGCACGAGAGGACCAGCCCCAGGCACGTGAGACCAGGAGGAAGGTACGTGGAGGACTGAGACCCAGGCACAGACTTGCACAGGCACGAGACCACAGGCATGGAGACTGGCATGGAGAGACTTGCACTGCACAGGTGGCATGTGGAGACTGAGGCACGAGACCACACGCATGTGAGACTGCACAGGCACGTGGAGCCGGAGACTGCACAGGCACCACAGGAGAGGCATGACATGGAGGAGGCCACGAGTGAGGGTGGACAGCCCTGAGTGGAGGTGGCTAAACAGATCCGGGGTAGGACAGACAAGGATGAAAGTGGACGGGGTGAGTGGAAGAATATGGTGAGAGACGGGGAAGGAGTGGACTGAGGAGGAGGATGGAGAGGTGGAAAAGGAGGGAGAGGAGGAGATGGAGTGGAGATGTGAAGTGGATAGTGGTAGATATAAATATGGAAGAAGGGAGGGAGGATGGAAGGGGGAAGAGGAGAGGAGGTGAGGGAGGGGTGGTGGAATGGAAAGATGTGGAATGGGTAGGAGAGGAGTGGATGAGAGAGGGAAACGGAGGGAATGGAAGGGGAGGAAGTGGAGAGGGGTGGTATGGAGTGGATGGTGGTGGGGGAAGTGGTGGTAGGAATGGAGATCTGGAAGGAGGGAGGGAAGAGGGAGAGGAAGGGGGGAGGGGAGGGGAGAATGGAGGGATTGAGGAAGGAATATGAGAAGAGTTGAAAGAGGAAGACCCAGGAGGACAGACAGAGGGAGATAGGAGCTGATAGTAGGAGGATGGAGACACTGAACCAGGATTTGGAAAATATGGGTAATGGCAGGCACAGGCAGGTACACAGAGGAGTGGATAGGAGGGAGAGGAGAGGCGGGCAATGGGTAGGATGAACCCAGGAGATATGGAGGCACGGGCAGGCACAGGCACACAGGATGATAGGAGGGAGGAGGAGACAGGAGCCGAACTAGGGAGATGGAGAGGCGGGCACGGGTAGCATATAGGCAGGCACACAGACAGGAGGAGGAGCAAGAGGCACCAGGGAGCAAACCCAGGAGATATGGAGAGGCGGGCACGGAGGGCAGGCACACAGGAGTGATAGGAGGAGGAGCAGAGGCACTGGTAGGAGCAAACGCAGGGGAGATATGGAGAGGCACGTACAGGACAGGCAACCCACAGGGACCAATCGAGACATCCCAGAGAGGCCCCAGAGGACCATGGACCACATTCCCAGGAGACTTGAGACCAACCGAGACAGCCCACAGGAGTGGACAATGAGAATCATAGATGAGACAGACATGGAATCCCATGTGGAGGACAAGGAGAGGGAGAGACATGACACACAGCCCCACTGAACAGTAGCCATGGAACAGGCATGGACGACACGGAGGAAAGTGGTAGGAGTGGACACGAACCCACAGGATCAGTGGACAACTGAAGGACATGAGCCCCAAGGACGATCATCAAACGATGGATACACAGGAGACACAGTGGACACACAGGACACATGGATGTGGACACGAGCCCGACCACAGACTGAATGGACCCCAGAAAGACTGATCCAAGGAAATAGAGTCCTAGCTGGCATGGTGACCAGAGGGACACAAGAATTGTAGTAGATGATCCCAGACAGGAGAAAGAGGGACCAGCATGGACAGAACAGAAATGGACTACAACCACAGCAGAGGAGAGGACACAGAGATCCTAGCACGAGGAATGAGACAGACAGACAACACAGACATGGACTGACAAGAGGAAATGAATGAGACAGACACAGACACAGTGACACAGTGGACACAGCCAGAAGGAAGACCACAGACAGACCAGACACACACAGAGTGAGCATGACCAGAACGACCCCAGTGACATGGCCACACGAAGAGCACAGTGGCCAAGGAAGCATGACCAGTGACAGTGGACCACACAACGGACACGGAAGGAAGTGAGACCTTACACACGTGGAGACCAAGGTGGACACCCAAGGACTGAACTGTATGGAAGAAAGATAAAGAACCCCAGGAACAACAGATCCCGACAGTGGAAAACCCAGGAACACAGGAAAGAAGGAGACAGACCACTGTGGACTGGATGGACACACAGGATCCCAGGATCGAAACCCACAGGAACAAAGATCCCAGACACAGCAGAAGCACCACACACACAGCAGCAGAAAAAAGACGCACAGAGAAAGGAGCACGAAGCCAATAAAGACATTCATGCACAGGACTGCCTTGTGGGCTAACCCCTGTGGAAAAGGAAATAGACGAAAGGATGAATATAAACGGAGTCTTGAATGGAAGAGGAAAATGAGTAATGCAGCCCAACTTGTGGACACAGGTATTTTGAAAGGAGGATGGACTTGTGGAATGGGAAAGAAACTTACAAAGACATTTACACGATAAACAATGTCCTGAAATGGAAAATGAGGACGATGATGTTGAATCATTAAGCGATGTCACACACAACAGGAAAAATAAGATGGCTGATCTTGAAGAGCAAGGTATAAGACAAATGTATTCACGTACGCGTGAGCTGAATAAAGACTTTTTGGATGAGAAACGACAGCTGTACATAAAAAGAGGTTTAAACGAAGACATGATTCAAGCCAAACTGAACAAATTGATGTGGAGCACGTTTAAAGAGACATATGCCCGATTTATTACTTATCTGTACCTGTACCAAAGACACAAGGAATACTGAAACAAGTAAAAGAAACAAATAATATGTATCATGAAGTGATTTCAAAATTGTACCAATATAAGTCTTGGGTCGAAGGCATGACTGAAGATGAAGACATAACATCTGATGAAGAGAGTGAAGGACAGGTGGATGAGGAAGGGTAATAAGACAACAGATGTAAAGTAGGCATTTGGGAGAGCTCCTATCCTAATGTCTACTCATTTGAAACGGAGCTAATAAACAATGAAATCTGTATATCTCTCTTGTTTCTTAATGCATTGTACCCATGAAGGTCTGGGTTACCCTTCAGTAACCCATGCTTGTCGTAAGAGGCGACTAACGGGATCGGGTGGTCAGGCTCGCTGGTTGACACATGGTGCATTGTGTAGAATGACGCTCATCCTGTTGATCACTGGATTGTCTGGGCAATTATGTACAGACCACCGCCAGAGAGGTGGACTATTGCTGAGAGTGTACTAAACTCACTGAATGTATTGCTGGAGGATTGACATAAGACAACTGTTGTACAATTCTTGGTTTTTATAATAGGAATTTCAACCCTATTTCACTGAATCCACAGAAATTTTTAACATGATCATACTATTATCAGACATACAAGTTTCAGTTTAAGCGTCATTCCTGTTGATTGAATACAAGATAACAACTGTTTCAGTTCATTGTATTGAAGATAACAACTGTTTCAGTTCATTGTATTGAATACGAGATAACAACAATCGTAATCGTAATCGTATGATCATATATATATATATATGGTTGAGTACTGTCATAGGAAAAGGTTTATAAATACATAAGCTATTACAAATGGTCACTTGTGTTGTAAGCCGTTTTGGTCTACAAAGCCGTTTTGGACATGTAGCCGTTTTGGACATGTAGCCGGTTTGGACATGTAGCCATTTTGGGTCAGAACCGTTTGCGAACCGGTTTGATAGGACTGTTTGCGATCCAGTTTGACAGAACCGGTTTTAGGTCGGGGCTGTTGGCGCCAAGATTTAATGCGCTTTGTTGGGTCTCCCTAATCTGAATGACGAATAACAGCAAATGACGAATGACAAATGTATTTTTGCACAATGAAGCATCCCTTGTCATTCGTTTTTCTGCGATAGTGAAAGATCATTACTTGATGTTAATTGTTATCTTTTTTAAACAGTATGTAATGTTACCACATATGAAGTTGAATGACAGGGTTTTAGAGTAATGTTATAAGAAACATCACCCTCAGCAAATGGAATGACAGTCATATCAGGTAGAATGACAATGTTTTTTGTAATGTTATCAGTAATATCACCCTCTGTAAATGGAATGACAGTCATATCAGGTACAATGGCAGTGTTTTCTGTAATGTTATCAGTAATATCACCCTCAGTAAAGGGAATGACAGTCATATGAGGTAGAATGACAGTGTTTTCTGTAGAGTTATCACTAATATCACTCTTAGTAAATGGAATGACAGTGATATGAGGTATAAATGGAATGACGGTCATATCAGGTACAATGACAGTGTTTTCTGTAATGTTATCAGTAATATCACCCTCAGTAAAGGGAATGACAGTCATATGAGGTAGAGTGACAGTGTTTTCTGTAAGGTCATCACTAATATCACCCTCAGTAAATGGAATGACAGTGATATGAGGTAGAATGACAGCGTTTTCTGTAGAGTTATCACTAATATCACCCTCTGTAAAGGGAATGACAGTCATATCAGGTAGCATGACAGCGTGTTCTGTAGAGTTATCAGTAATATCACCCTCAGTAAAGGGAATGACAGTCATATCAGGTACAATGACAGTGTTTTCTGTAGAGTTATCACTAATATCACCCTCAGTAAAGGGAATGACAGTCATATCAGGTAGAATGACAGTGTTTTCTGTAGAGTTATCACTAATATCACCCTCAGTAAAGGGAATGACAGTCATATCAGGTAGAATGACAGTGTTTTCTGTAGAGTTATCAGTAACATCACCCTCTGTAAAGGGAATGACAGTCATATCAGGTAGAATGACAGTGTTTTCTGTAGAGTTAGTTATCAGTGATATGAGGTAGAATGACAGTGTTTTTGTAATATCTAATACCCTCAGTAAAGGGAATGACAGTCATATCAGGTACAATGACAGTGTTTTCTGTAGAGTTATCACTAATATCACCCTCAGTAAATGGAATGACAGTGATATGAGGTAGAATGACAGCGTAGAACGACAGCGTTTCTGTAGAGTTATCACTAATATCTCAGTAAAGGGAATGACAGTCATATCAGGTACAATGACACTCAATATCACCCCCTCAGTAAAGGGAATGACAGTCATATCAGGTACAATGACAGTGTTTTCTGTAGAGTTATCACTAATATCACCCTCAGTAAATGGAATGACAGTGATATGAGGTAGAATGACAGTGTTTTCTGTAGAGTTATCACTAATATCACCCTCAGTAAAGGGAATGACAGTCATATCAGGTACAATGACAGTGTTTTCTGTAGAGTTATCACTAATATCACCCTCAGTAAAGGGAATGACAGTCATATCAGGTACAATGACAGTGTTTTCTGTAGAGTTAGCTGTAGTTTAGAAAAACGATGAACCTAGGAAAAGGTTCTGATTATGATTGGACTGTGTTTATTGTGTTGGGATTTAAAGATTCATGGCAAATGGGAGTAATGTGTAATCAACTTTCTATCGGTCGTATCCTATGTGTGTATCGGGCTGTGTTTATTCATGTGATTGTGTGTGAGTTTTAAAGTAGGCTCATGGCATATGTGAGTAATGTGTAATCAACTTTCTATAGGTTGTATTCTGTGTGTGTATGGGGCTGTGTTTATTAATATGATTATGTGGGATTTTAAAGTAGGTTCTACATGGGATATGTTGGTGAGAAGCATGCTGTGTGTGATTTCGCTATGACTTTCAACATTTTACTCAGTTTTTTTCATCGGCGGGCATGGCTAGGACTTTGTTATTTGTTTAAATCTATTTATTTATAATTTTTTTTCAAAATGGCGGCGAGGGACGCGGTCTGTGACCTAGTTTT